GGTAAAGCTCATCAATTACCATACAAGGAGTCAAATTTTAGAGCAAAGAAGCCACTAGAGTTAATTCACTCAGATGTGTTCGGTCCAGTCAAGCAGACATCAGTTAGCGGGATGCGGTACATGGTGACGTTCATTGATGATTATTCGAGATATGTGTGGGTTTTCTTCATGAAAGAAAAATCTGAAACATTCTCAAAGTTTCTAGAATTCAAGACAACGGTCGAAGGAGAAGTGAGAAAGAAGATTCAGTGTCTACGCTCAGACAATGGAGGAGAATACACCTCAGAAGAATTCAATCGCTATCTAAAAGAATGTGGTATACGTCATCAATTCACATGTGCCAACACACCTCAACAAAATGGTGTAGCTGAGAGAAAGAATCGACATCTTGCAGAAATTTGTCGAAGCATGCTACACGCGAAGAATGTCCCAGGAAGATTTTGGGCTGAAGCAATGCAAACTGCTGCCCATGTGATCAATAAACTTCCCCAACCAAGGTTAGGTTTCATCTCACCATTTGAGACACTATGGAACATGAAACCTACTGTTAGCTACTTCCGAGTATTTGGTTGCATCTGCTACGCATTTGTACCTAGTCATTTACGTAGCAAGTTTGACAAGAAAGCAGTCAGGTGTATATTTGTTGGATACGACAATCAAAGAAAAGGGTGGAGATGTTGTGATCCAACAAGTGGAAGATGCTACACTTCAAGAGATGTAGTGTTTGATGAAGCATCTTCATGGTGGTCCTCAGAGAAGAAAGTACTACCAGACTCGGAAAATATTGAAGAAGTTTTAAAACAAAAGATGGGGGAGCAAACTGCACATATTTGGTCAAGTGTTGAAACACCTGAAGATACGAGCGACACTGATGTCATTGAGCAAGAAGTAACTCAAACAAGTGATGCCGGTGAAAGGGAGCCGCCGCCTCCACAACTTCGAAGGACGAAAAGAATCTGAAAGCCTAATCCCAAGTATGCTAATGCGGCCATTTTAGAAGACGGTGTTAAAGAGCCGGAGACATATGAAGAAGCAGTTAAGAATAAAGCTTGGCAGAAGGCAATGGAAGAAGAAGTTACAGCCTTAAAGCAGAATCAAACGTGGGAACTGGTACCAAGACCAAGAGATATAAAACCGATTTCCTGCAAGTGGGTTTATAAATTAAAACGACGCACAGATGGATCAATTGAAAGATACAAGGCTCGTTTGGTGGCTCGAGGATTCTCACAACAATATGTGCTGGACTATGATGAAACATTTAGTCCAGTGGCGAAGATAACTACTGTACGGGTGCTGCTAGCTCTTGCGGCTAGTAAAGACTGGAAATTATGGCAGATAGATGTGAAGAATGCTTTCTTTCATGGAGAATTAGATCGGGAGATCTACATGAACCAACCAAAGGGATTTGAGGATGCAGTTAATCCCACTCAGGTGTGCAAGCTGAGAAAAGCTCTTTACGGATTGAGGCAGGCACCAAGAGCCTGGTATGGTAAGATTGCTGAATTTCTTACCCGAAGTGGTTATTCAGTTGCACATGCAGACTCAAGCCTGTTCATCAAAGAAAAAGAAGGGAAGTTGGCAATTGTGTTGGTTTATGTGGATGACTTGATCATCACCGGGGATGACGAAAGAGAAATCCATCAAACAAGAGAAAATCTATCGGTACGATTCCAAATGAAAGAGCTGGGGGAGCTTAAACACTTCTTGGGGTTAGAAGTTGATCGTACAAAGGAAGGGTTGTTTCTCTGCCAACAAAAGTATACAAGAGATATACTTCAAAAGTTTGGCATGTTGGAGTGTAAGCCAATATCAACACCAATAGAGCCAAATGCCAAGATATGTGCTCATGAAGGAAAAGAGTTGGACGATGGAACGATGTATCGACAACTAGTAGGTAGTCTTATCTACCTAACTTTATCTCGGCCTGACATTGCTTATGCAGTTGGAGTTATGAGTCGATACATGCAAAGTCCGAAGAAACCTCATTTGGATGCTGCCCGACGGATCTTGAGATATGTCAAAGGTACAATTGACTATGGTCTCTTGTATAAAAGAGGAGAAGATTGCAAGTTGGTTGGATATTGTGATGCTGACTATGCAGGAGACCATGATACCCGAAGATCAACCACTGGGTATGTGTTCAAGCTTGGGTCGAGACCAATATCATGGTGTAGTAAAAGACAACCAACAGTATCATTGTCAACCACGGAAGCGGAGTACAAAGCAGCGGCCGTATCAGCTCAAGAAAGTACATGGTTGGTACTCCTAATGGAGGACTTACATCAAAAAGTTGACTATGTAGTACCACTTCACTGTGACAACCAGTCTGCAATTCGGCTGGCAGAAAATCCAGTATTTCATGCTAGAACAAAGCATGTGGAAGTGCATTATCACTTTATCAGAGAGAAAGTCTTGATGGAAGAAATTGAGATGCGGCAGATCAAGACCGATAGACTTGTTCACCAAAGGGCTGAGTACTGGAAAATGTGAAGGTTTTCGCTGTCAGCTTAACGTGGTACGAAGAATGAGGGCTAGTGTTGAGGGGGAGTGTTAAAGATCATCACTAGCCCAATAAAACAAATATTATTTAGAAGACTTTAGCTTGTTCTAGCATGCTCTAGAAGATTCTAGAACATTATGGAAGACTATGGAAGACTCTGGAATATACCGGAAGAGTCTAGAATACTCTAGAACGACATGGAAGACCCTGGAAGGATATGGATCATTCTAGAAGACACTGGAGCAACCTAGACCTCTCCAGAACATGGTAGAATATTCTAGAAACATATGGAAGCATATAGAGTATGTTAGATAGTTCTAGAGTTATCTAGTATGTAGTAAGTGTATACTAGTATCTAGAACCTTCCTAAGAGGCCTATAAATAGGTATGGAGCTCATTTGCTCCAAACCATCCAAGAAAGCCTCAAAGAGAGAAAAGTGTGTAGTAGTCTCACAAAGTGTAAGGTCTTCTTAAGTGTCTTAATAAAAGTCTTGTTGTTTCCCATATAAAAGAGTCATGTTCAACATTGTTTTCTTGCAGTTTTGCTCTTCACAGGCGAGCATCACTGGAAGGACCATATGTGCTCCCCAGTTCCCCTTCTTTGTGTAGGTATACCCCCACCATCATTCCAATTAATCGACCTTTTAGGCTTTTGTTTTTATTTAAATCCAAATGGACTTATGAATTAACAAATCTTATTTATTATAAGCCTAATAAGTTAAAAATATAATTTGGTTAGTGGATTATGAGGTAATCGGCACTAGATTTTGACACAATGAGTTAGCTTTCTTTTTTTAATTAATCTAGAAGTTGCAAAAAAAATTTACTAGTGCACTTGTATATATATATAAAAAATTACACTACTACAAATTCAAGGCGTGCACATACTACTTGCGCTAAGCCATTTCCACCATTGAGTGGGCATGAAGTTGATTTGGAAGATGATTTTGCAAGATTTAAGGAAAAACTGGGCAAGGGTTTAATAATTAGAGGTTGAGGTTTATTTGTTGGATGGAATAGGAAAAAAGGTGGAAGATTTTTTTTCAAATTTTAAGTTGGTGGAAACTTAATTCCATAAAGTTTGTTGTACTTTCTTATGTGATGATGTAGGTTTTAAGAATGTCAGTCTCTACCATTGTATCAGATCCAACATTTAGTGTCGGCAGAGGGTGATTGATGCTACTAGAAGCTCCCTTACAGATGCAACCGCAAAAGCTTTGATTTGTACCCATGATTCGATACATTCCACCCTGATTGATATTTAATTAAAAGTCAGACTGTATATGTGGAAGAATTGCAAGAAAAGTTGGTAGGCTGTATATGTGGAAGAATTGCAAGAAAAGTTGGCAGAGATAAAACTTGGTAATTATTTTTGCATAATTATAGCTTTATAACTCAATACTAATTGTTTTTGGTTTTTAGATGAAATGGGAAATGGTGAAGCGATTCGAAGGATGAAGACTGAAGATTGGTGTTTTGACTTTTGATGTTGTTTTCATGTTATGGAATTTTGGTTGTAACTAACTATTTCTATTTTCTATGTTACTTTGATTTTCATGCTTTTGTTAAGAACTTCAAAACTTGTTAGTTTTAATATTTGTTTGAACTATCTCAAACTGTGATAATGCGACAACAAAGGACCATTTATGTAATTTAATCTAAACTTTTATTAAATAACCACTAGGAGCGCTCAGCGCAACCCGTATGAAACCATCCGTTGACTAAATTTTTGGAGGAGACGGAAACATATGGACGTGATTCACTCACGTCGAAATCCTCTCTTTATTTGCTCCAGTTTTCTCAACTCTCTCAACACCTACCAATAATCCTCTCTTCGACCATATACTCCTCAGTTCCTCCATTCCATCTCTCTACCAGCTGTGTTGATTAGCTTAAAAGCGTTGAATTCATCAGTAAAACCAAAGGTCTTTAATTTAGGTTCGTTAAAGACCAATTTAGAAGCATCGAGTTATAAATAAAACAGGGTTCTTTAAACTGGTGGTTGGGATTGGAATTAGAATTGGAATTGCTGCAAGTGCCGAGATTGAATTGTCATGATATAAATAGATGGAGCCTTTGTAATTTACTATAAAATTCTATTAAAAGTAATAACGACACCGGATGAAACCATCGGGTGACGAAGTTTTTTTGACGAGGGGGAAACATATCAACAAAAATTCAACAAGCAGCCTGGAATCACGAGCTATCGAGTTGGGGTTCCGTCGAGTTCAACCAGGTTTGGAACATTTTTCACTCACCTAGTAATCCTCTCCTTTTTTGCTCCTAGTTCTCTCTAACGCTGCAAGAAGACAAACAATCTACCATTACTCCTTTCTTCGACCGTGTATATAGAACAAGTCATCAACAAAACCACAATGTCTTCAATTAGGGTTCGTTAGAGATCAATTTAGAAACACGGGATTCTTATTCATCTGCAAGTCTCGAGCTCTGTTTCGGATAGAAGTGGTATTGTGAAGAATCAAAGGCCCGGTGCCCCAGAATGTCGGATGCACCTATCATCGATACTAACTCGTCACTCCTAGTGGGAGAGCAGACATGTCAACGGTTTACTCTTTCCGAGATTCAATTGGCAACCAACAACTTTGACGAGACTTTAGTCATTGGGAGCGGTGGATTCGGCAACGTGTATAAATGTGATGTCAGCAAGATTGGGTGTGGAAGCGAAGTTGCAGTTAAACGGTTGCGTACCATGTCGAAACAAGGAGCCCATGAATTTGAGGCGGAAGTTAAGGTCCTTTCCAAGCTGCGGCATGCCAATCTTGTATCCCTGGTTGGTTATTGTATTGAAGGGCAAGAGATGGCCCTTGTTTACGAGTTCATGCCTAATGGTACTCTTAAAGATCATCTTCGCAAAGCTGATTGTGCCTTATCTTGGTCACAACGACTCAAGATATGCATAGGTGCAGCTCGGGGATTACACTACCTTCACACAGGTACATCAACTCAACATGGAGTTATCCACCGGGATGTAAAGACCTCGAATATTTTGTTGGATGCAAAATTTGCTGCTAAAATTTCTGACTTTGGATTGGCCAAGGTTGGCCCAATAGATCAGACACGAACCTATGTGATCACCAATGTCAAAGGGACATTTGGCTATTTTGATCCGTGTTACTTCTATACTGGAAAATTGAATAGAAAATCTGATGTTTACGCTTTTGGAGTTGTATTGTTTGAGGTGTTGTCCGGAAAGCAGGCAGTAGATTCAACGCTTGATGAAGAGCCACAGGGTTTAGCACCTTGGGCTCAACGCCAAATCAAAGAAGGAAAACTCGATCAAATTATTGACCCAAAACTGATGGGACAAATCTCTAGAAAATGCTTGAAGAAGTTTGTAAAAATAGCATGCCATTGTTTACGTGACAAACAAAAAGAACGCCCTACCATGGATGAGGTTATCTTTAGGCTCGAGTGTATTCTGTCAAAAGAAAGGGAAAACAAAGATTCTATCGTTTACAAGTTAAGAGCTTTTTTTACAGCCACAGTTGACATTATGTTGGATCGGGAGGTAGGAAAAAAATCTGTGATTCCCGGTGTTGCAGTAGGAAGCAACTCTATAATGTCTGGTGTTGCACCAGGAAACGAATCTGTGATGTCTGGTGTTGTGGTAGGAAGAAATTCTGTGATGCTTGGTGGTGCAGTCAGAAGCAAATGTATGATGTCGGGTGTTGTGGTAGGAAGCAAATCTGTGATGCCCGGTGTTGCAGTAGGAAGCAACTCTGTAATGTCTGGAGTTGCAGTAGGAAGCGAATCTGTGATGTCTGGTGTTGCGGTAGGAAGAAAATCTAAGGCGCTTGCTTTTGCAGTTAGAAGAAGCAAATCTGTGATGTCTGGTGTTACAGTAGGAAGCAAATCTGTGATGCCCGATGTTGCAGTAGGAAGCAACTCTGTAATGTCTGGTGCTGCAGTAGGAAGCGAATCTGTGATGTCTGGTGTTGCAGTAGGAAGAAAATCTAAGGCGCTTGCTTTTGCAGTCAGAGGAAGCAAATCTGTGATGTCTGGTGTTGCAGTAGGAAGCAAATCTATGATGCCCAATGTTGCAGTAGGAAGCAACTCTGTAATGTCTGGTGTTGCAACAGGAAGCGAATCTGTAATGTCGGATGTTGCAGTAGGAAGTAAATCTGTGATGCCCGGTGTTGCAGTAGGAAGCAACTCTGTAATGTCTGGAGTTGCAGTAGGAAGCGAATCTGTGATGTCTGGTGTTGCAGTAGGAAGAAAATCTAAGGCGCTTGCTTTTGCAGTCAGAGGAAGCAAATCTGTGATGTCTGGTGTTGCAGTAGGAAGCAAATCTGTGAATCAGGATGGTAAAGTTGTTAGCAAATATGAATTTAGTGCTCACCATATCCAGAATTTTACAACTGGAAGTATCAGAACATTTACATACGATGAGTTGGTAAGTGCAACAAGTGATTTCAAAGACATGGAGCATTCTCCAACTTCTTACAAATCCGTTTACAAAGGTTGGGTTGATGAAAAGTCATATGCACCAACAGAATGTGGTGTTGGCTTGGCGATATATGTTAGGAAGGAGATTCTAACCTGGAAGGTACTTTCAATTTGTGATATTTTCTAGCTTATATTTTAAGGCACTGAACTACATTAACAATTTGGCTGCTATTTGGCAATGCAGCTGAACTTGAAACTATTAGAATTCAGTCATCCCAATATTACCAGACTTTTGGGATATTGCTTGTCTAATGTAACGATGTTTTGGGTATACGAGCTCTTTCCAGGGATATGCTTAGATGATCTTCTATTCAAAGGTAAGCATATCTGCTATTTTTACTTGTGTAGAACCCTTCATTTGTTAATGAATTCAACTTGTTAATATGTCCAAACAATAAACATGTATGATCCTACTTTTTGAGTGTCCAGGCATAAACTGGCTTTGAGTGATGGTTGTGTAAAATATATGTTATGGTATATACAGATCCAGACACAACTACACTTTCTTGGGCTGCACGATTGAAAATAGCACAAGGGGCAGCTCAAGGCCTGTCTTTCTTCCATCGGAGGAATCGTCCAGCATATAATAGTTTTGATGGCAATCATATATTGGTGGACAGGGTAATGTACACTGCGTTGACTTGCTTGCATTTTGCATGGAAAAAGTAATGTCGATTTTAGTTTATCTATTCTTGCTTATTTTCAGGATTTTAATGCTCGGCTTTTGGATTATGAAATAGACAATTTACTTGCCCCACCTGGCTGCTCTACTTTTGAAAGAAACAAATCGGATGGTATTTTTGGACGTGTGCCTGGAGATGGTATGTTCTTTTGTAAAAATGAAGTTTTCTGTACATTTTCAATATATATGGGAAAATGTTGAAATACTTTATTGAACTAAACTATTGGCCTAGTCTAAGTCTCATTTAAGTCATTTATCTTTTTTTCCCTATTTTGAGTCATTGAAGTATTCTTTTTTGTCCTTATTTACCCGGAACTGCAGGTTTCCCTTGTGACTTTTTTTATGTTTTCCTGTTTTTAATACGATTGAGGTGGGCTATTATTCTGACAGTTATACATAGCATATTTAGTGTTATTGTTAAGGTAGTTATTTCCATCCACCAAATGAAAAGGTATAATGCTTAGGTGCAAGGGTTGCAATGGTTGAAGTTATGTGCTTGCTTGCTTAGTTTCAACTTTTCATTTTAAATGGAAATTTATAACATTTTTCTAAAACAAACATTCCTTTAGTGTTCCCTATAGTTTGTTAAGTCCTTTTATAGTACAATGATCTTAACTAATCCCCTTATAAGAGTTTTAGACTTATAACACCATTAACCATTTTATATGCATATGTATACATTCATGTTCTAATAACAAGGGGCAGCTTTTTTTTTTTTCTTCCAAAAACAGTACCTTTATAAGTATTTCTGAAAACAAGGGTGTTACAATATACACATACACACATGCATTAAAACTTGAAGACATCGACATGTCTAAGAATTCATTTATGCACAACGACTAAAATTCTGAGTTATTTGTGGAAAGATTATCAACTGATTAATCAAACACCTCCTTGGCAGAAACCGGAGTGCAGAGTGAGATCTATGATTTTGGAGTGGTACTGCTGAAAATGCTAACAGGGATGAAGAAGTATGATGAAAGGATACCTCTCCAACAGAAAAATTTGATGGAATGGGCTACTCCATTACTAGCGAATAAGGTAAATTTGCGAATGATTATGGACCCTCAACTTCAACATAATGATCATCCTCCAAAGGGAGCATTTGAGTTGGCTCAACTTGTTTCAAAGTGTCTTCAGCCAACTCGAGACAAAAATCTCTCAATTGAAGAAATCTCCCAAGTCTTGTATCAGTGTTATCAAAATGAAATCACATCGGGTTGACTCTGAAATGTCAAATACAATTGTTCTTATGTAAATAAATAAAAAATACAATTATTCTTATGTAAATAAATATAAGAAAGTAAAGCTTATGATGCTGCAAATATTAAAAAGTGTAAAGACTTGACCTCTCACTCGTCTACTATCTACTTTCATGGGCCAGAGTGCTGTCTTCTGTTCTATTTTCTATTAACCTTCTAATGTGTGACATTATGTTGTAGGGATACAATATTATTAACATCCGGATACTGTTTCTTACCAATTTAAAGCTGAAGCTTCATCTTATGAACGCATGCTCTAATGAGTTGCCCATTATCTTTATATTAACTTAATTCACGATTCACCAAAATTAACCAGTTGTATAAATTACTTATTCTTCCATCTCTTGAAGTTGATTCTAATCCACATTTGTTACAACCATTGGCATCGGGCAGATAGGAATGGAACACTAAAAATCATGCACATGCTTGTTAGATCTTCATTAGCCGTTTATTATTTCTAGATCAACCCTAATTTCATGAAGCTGGAGATACAAAGGAGATAAGAATTTTCTTAATTGCATTTGATCATCGTTTTCAAACTACAAATGTTGATGTGTGGACTAATGTTCTAGGAGAGACTTTTGTCGTGTCAATTTCCAAGAGATAATGTTTGAGCCAAGATAAAGTATGTAAGCAGTAGTTGAACGACCTCCATTCGAGACCCCTCCCCAATATGAGTCCAAAAATGATTTGAGATTAAGAGAGTTCCCCTTTTTGAGAAATAATCCATGATGAATTGTACACTTTAAGTAGCAAAGAACTCATTTCAAAGCTTGCCAATGAATCTGAAGTGGCATCATGCATAACCTGGGAGAAACGATTAATGGCAAACGATACGTTTGGCCTTGTGAAGGCCAAATACTATAATGAGCCCACCGGTTTCCGATCAGGTGTAGGATCAACACTAGGTGACCCGTCCATGGAGTTGAGAACAGTATAAGAGTTTATTGGAGTCACCACATCTTTTGCACCATCCATACGAAAATTGGTTAAGAGATCTTCAATATAGAGATGTTGTGACAGAAATAGGCCATGAGAAGTGGGAATAACTTCAATTCCAAAAAAGTGGTGGAGAGAACCGAAATATTTAATAGAGAAGAGATTTGTTGAGGTATGAATGAAGTTTATACGAAAGGCATTATTGTTTTTTGTGAGTACAACGTCATCCACATAGACCATAAAGAAGCAGATGATGTTCTGATTATAAATGATTAGTGAGGCATATGCTTGGGATTTACAAAAACCACAAGAGTGGAGGAAGGATGTGAGTTCCATGTACCAGGCCCGTGGTGCCTGCTTTAGACCATATAGAGACTTTATGAGCTTACAAACATGATTTGAGAACTGAGGATGAACACATCTTGGTGGTTAGGTCACGTAGACCTCTTGATATAGAGCACCATGAAGGAAAGCATAATTAAAATCAAGTTGGCCTAGTGGCCGATTTTGTGAAAGGGAAATAGATAGAATGATAAGTATGGTTATCAGTTTGGTGAATGGACTGAAGGTATCAAAGTAGTCTTGTCCATATTGTTGAAGGAATCCTTTAGCAACCAAACGAGCTTTGTATTTAGAGAGGGTTCGTTTGATCCAGAATGTTGAACACGACTCTTAATGTGGGAAACAACAAGACTTTTATTAAGACACTTAAGAAGACCTTACACTTTGTGAGACTACTACACACTTTGCTTTCTTTGAGGCTTTCTTGGATACTTGGATGTTGGGATTGTTTGGAGCAAATGAGCACCACACCTATTTATAGGTGTTTCCACCTCCTTATAGGAAGTTTCTAGATCTACATACATTCATGGATATTCTAGAACTATCTACCATATTCTATATCTATTACAAGCTTTTATATGTTTCTAGAATGTTCTATAATGTCCTAGATAAGTATAGACATTCTTGTGTCTTCCATAGTGTTCTAGAATGTTCCATAGCCTTCCAGGGTCTTCCATCTCATTCTAGAGTATTCTAGAATCTTCCAGCATCTTCAACACTCCTCCATAGTATTCCATAATGTTCTAGAATCTTCCAGATCATTCTAGAACATGCTAACTTCTTCTAGACAATAACATGATTCTATTGGGCTAGTGATGACCTTCAACACTCCCCCTCAGCACTAGCCCCTATTTTGTTGTACTATGTTGAGCTGATAATTAAAGCCCTCATATTTGTCAGTACTTAACCCTTTATGAACTTCATTTGCTACTTGGTCATTAGTCTTGATATGTTTCATATTGACTTCTTCCTTGAGAACTTTTTCTCTTCCACATGTTTTGTTTTTCCTTAGTTGTTGCAGTTGTTGCTTCGTATATTGTTTCCATAGTTGACAATGACATTCGTGGTTGCCTTTTGTTGCACCATAATATTGTCCGTGACCCCGTTGAAAATCTCTTATATAGTTTCTTATGCCTCCCGTTGGAGAACTTATAAGCATGTGGGGTGTCCCTTTTACAAGCCCTGGAAAATTCCTGTAATATTAACATGTTATGACGTGATCCCTTATTGATTTGATCATCTCGTTTAGATGTTGCTTGGTTGAGAGATTTTACTTTGCTCTTACGAATTAATGTGTTTTTCTTCTTATTTGCCTTATCAGGTTTCTCCATCACATGTTCCACTTTTCGTCTAAGATGCGAATTTTTATGTAACCCTAGTGGCATTATGTTCTTCTTCTCCTTCGGAATGTCCATCTTTGAGGAACAATTTCCTCCTTCAAGGCTGTCATAAACTTTGCCTCACTCTTCTTGAGACCTTTGTCGAGTTGCATAGTTGATAGGATTTGGGATCCAATCCTATTTCTCTTCAAGGGTACAATGTGAATTATTGAACCCTTAGTGATACGCATGGTATCATCTCTCTCAAATGACCAGGGTCGTACGTTGTCTAGGAAATCCATTCCCAATACCATACGATAGTCATCTATATGCACCACTGTCAAGTCTATGGTGCCTTCCCATTCTGCTATCTTAAGAGGTACTCCATATGCAACACCAATGATAGGCTTGGATAAAGAGTTGATGACTTTCAACCGGCCTGGATTTTTGGTGTATTTGATGCCCAACTTTTTAGCTTCATCTTTAGCAAGGAAATTATAGGATGCACTTGTATCTACTAAAGCCTTGGTGTATCCTCCATTTACCCTGGCATCCACGAACATTAGCCTTCCTCTTTTAGTCTTATTCTCTTCTATAGCACATAGTGCCTCAGCATCCCATTCATCCTCTACTTCCTTTTTGGAAGTTACTACATTGCTTTCCACAGACTTTTTCTTTGACCAACAATCCTTGGACATGTGGCCCCACTTTCCACAGTTGTTGCAGAGAACTCTTATTGTCGGTCTTTTGAGATCTCCATGGTTGTGAGGTTCCTGGTTGACTCTTCCCTTTGTCAGCATTTTTGTATCCTTCTTTAGAAGGTGGCTTGAAATTCCTCCGACTTTTACTTGTGTAGAGTGCTTCTTCTTCACTCTTCAGCGTGATGCCTCCCATTTGCTTAGCCATAGCTTCTTGGCTGGCCAGCAAATTCTCAAACTCTACAAGTGATGGTTGAACGGGCCATCCTTGTACAGCAGTAATGAAGCTTCTATATTCTGGCCTGAGTCCATGGATGATGATCCTTTTCATTCGAGCTTCTGCAATGATGGATTGTGGATCTAGTTCAGTAATCTCCCGACATATCGACTTGACCTTGTGGAAATATTGAGCAATCGTCATGTCACGTTGTGAGATTGATAATAGCTCGTTCTCCAAAAGTTGTAGTCTCGTATCATTCTTCTTTGAGAAAAGCATCACAAACGTGTCCCAAGCTTCTTTCGGGGTGTTCTCATCCCGAATATGCTCCAACATCTCTTCTTCGATTGTGGTCTTCAAGGCAAACATTGCTTTGCCTGCTTTGATTTTCCATTTGCGCAAAGCACCATTAACGTCTTCCTCTGGTGGCGTAGTTTCGCTTCCACCAACGACCTCCCATAGATCTTGTCCTTGTAAGTAGGACTTCATACATGTTTCCCACGTTTTGTAGTTGTTGTTGTTGAGTTTCTTGATTCCTCCGACGACTTGGAGATCACCCATCGTGTTGGCAGTACCTCGGTAATACCAAACAAGCTAGTTTCGAAACTAAACTTGCAGAGTCACAAACTACTCACGATACAACGAGAATCACTCATTCTCACTATCAAGAAACCTTGCTCTGATACCAGATTGTTGAACACGACTCTTAATGTGGGAAACAACAAGACTTTTATTAAGACACTTAAGAAGACCTTACACTTTGTGAGACTACTACACACTTTGCTTTCTTTGAGGCTTTCTTGGATACTTGGATGTTGGGATTGTTTGGAGCAAATGAGCACCACACCTATTTATAGGTGTTTCCACCTCCTTATAGGAAGTTTCTAGATCTACATACATTCATGGATATTCTAGAACTATCTACCATATTCTATATCTATTACAAGCTTTTATATGTTTCTAGAATGTTCTATAATGTCCTAGATAAGTATAGACATTCTTGTGTCTTCCATAGTGTTCTAGAATGTTCCATAGCCTTCCAGGGTCTTCCATCTCATTCTAGAGTATTCTAGAATCTTCCAGCATCTTCAACACTCCTCCATAGTATTCCATAATGTTCTAGAATCTTCCAGATCATTCTAGAACATGCTAACTTCTTCTAGACAATAACATGATTCTATTGGGCTAGTGATGACCTTCAACACAGAAGACCCATTTACAACCAATGGGGTTGTGGGAAGCTTTACGAACTAGTTCCCAAGTTCCATTTTACATAAGAGCATTAAATTCCTGGCTCATGGCTTGTCTCCAGTTTTGGTCTCTAAGAGCTTGGTTATAGGTATTGGATTTAAGGGTGGGGGGAATAGGATGAACTATGGTGGAGTTTATGAATGAGGGATTGAAATATTTTTTTATTTTGTTTTCTGATTCTTTATGGAAGTGGTGAGGGGTGGGTATGGAGGTGGTAGATACAGTAAGAGAGGTGGTGGGAGTGGGTGTAGTAAGAGTAGAAGGAGAGGTTGGTGTGAGGTCCTCTAGTTGGATAGGAGGAGGTTGATATTGTTGAATGGTGACAGATGGGTTAATAGTGGACTTAGTAGTTTGAGTGGGGCGAGTGGGAGATGTTGGGGAAGGATGGGCAAGGGGAGTAGTGGATAAATGTTGAGTAGATACATGAGAAGGTAAAGAAGTAGGATACATATGAGGTGTTTATGACTATAAGGTGGATGAAGTAGGAATTGGGAAAGAAGTGGTGGGTGAATATGGGACAGGAATAAAGGTGTCATCAGTGGGTAGGATAGGAGATTTGGTGGCATGATAGGGGAAATTAGTTTCTATAAACTCAACATGACGGGAGTGATAGAGACGTTTGGTGATTGGATCGAAGCATTTGTAGGCAGACTTGGAAGTCGAATAGCCAAGAAAAATGCGTGTGATGGACCTTGGTTGAAGGTTAGAGGTAGTGTATGGTCTAAGCCACGAAAAACAAAGGCATCCAAATGATTTTAACTTATTGTAGTTTGGTGGTTGATTTGCTTATTGATAATGGGTGTGGGAAGAAGATTTATGAGATAGACTGTAGTTTGGGAAGCATGAGTCCAGTAGATAAGAGGAAGGTTGACATAATGGATTAGGGCAATGCCCGTCTCAACAATATGGCGGTGACGACATTAAACTACATCATTCTGTTCAGGGGTGTGAGGTGGGGTAGTGTAGTGAGATATGCCATTAACTTGTAGAAAATGGTAAAGACCCTGATAATCCTCACCATTATCAGTGAAAATGGAGACCAGGGGAGTATTGAAGAAATTTTTAACGAGTAGCTTAAATTGACGAAAGATGTTGGCTATCAAACTTTCGTTTCATAGGGTAAAGCCACACGTATTTGGAAAAGTAGTTTGCAAAAATGACATAATATGTGAAC